TTGCAAAATTTGGCTGTATCTATTTAAAGCAACTTTGTATAGTTTCGGGATCCCAAAGCTTTATAATGTGATTAGCTTTTATAGTCCAGTCATTTAAGCTTAAATTAGGTAAGAATCTCGGAATTCAGATACCCAGCTGTAAGTCTGTAAATACTTGTATATTGACGCAACTATAAAATTTCAAGGTCAAAGGTCACAAAAATCGGTTTTTTGCGCTTTTTTTGTAAATATCTCATTTCCTATGGGTTTTTTGCTATTGGTATTTATTATCAATATTGTAGAATATTCTCTACAAATTTTGTTTAAAAAAATTTTTCATACGGTGAACCGTTTTCGAGATAGAGGGCGGAGAGCGCGCGGTCACGGCATCACTTCAGGTCAACCGGTGCCTCCGGTCAAAAACGCGCCATATATAGTTGTGACCTTTGACCATGAAATTTAATAGTTGCGTACACCCTACCATATGTAGGTTTTGAGACAACTTTTAGGGTGTCAATATACAAGTATTTACAGACTTACAGCTGGGTATCTCGAATTCCGAGGTGAACTTACTATAATGACTGGACTAATAAGCGAAATCGTAGAACGGCTATAAAACTATGTGGCTAAAAGCATGATGGTTTGTTGAATACTTTTCTCATACCACACATTTCTCACAATAATACTTATACAATAAGTATTTTTTGGTCAAAATTTCTGTCAGTTTATGTAAGGAATTATTTATCACTTTTTAGTCTAAAGTACTTTAAAAGAATGTTTTGTAGTTTTTTAAACCATATATTTTCTACGCAATCCTGATTGTTTTTGTTTGCCAAAGAACAAGGGGTATTGCAGAATATTTGCTTATGTGGACTTTGATTAGATGTACATACATATGTATGTATCTACTTATGTTTTTGTTAGCAAAATTTTCATTTATTTGTTATACTCTCGCAACTTCTTGCTACAGAGTATAATAGTTTTGTTCACCTAACGGTTGTTTGTATCACCTAAAACTAATCGAGTTAGATATAGGGTTATGTATATATAAATGATCAAGATGAAGAGACGAGTTGAAATCCGGGTGACTGCCTTTCCGTCCGTCCGTCTGAGCAAGCTGTAAATTGAGTAAAAATTTAGATATCTTTATGAAACTTTGTAGACATGTTTCTTGGTACCGTGAGACGGTTGGTATTGCAGATGGGCGTAATCGGACCACTGCCACGACCACAAAACGCCATTAATCAAAAACAAATAAATTGCCATAAATAAGCTCCACTAAAATTTTATTGAAAAGTGGCCGTGGTCCCGCCCCCTAATAGGTTTAATGTGCATATCTCCTAAACTACTAAAGCTATAATAACAAAATTCACTGGAAGCACCTCTACCTACGGTGTGAAAATGGGTGAAATCGGGTGACAACCCCGCCCACTCCGCATATAACGGTACTGTTAAAAACTTCGAAAAGCGCGATAAGAGACATTAAATTTTATCTCTGGGATGGTATAATATAACTTTATAGGAACCACGTTCAAAATTAGATAGTGGGCGTGGCACCGCCCACTTTTAGGTGAAAACCCATATCTTGGGATCTGCTTAACCGATTTCAACCAAATTTGGTACATAACATTCTTTTCATATTTCTATGTTATAGTGCGAAAATGGGCGAAATCGGATTACAACCATGCCTATTTTCCATATAACATCATTTTAAATTTCATCTGGTTTTTTCACTTTCCACTATGCAAATCAAGCAACAATGGTTTCTGTATAAATAAGCTAAGTCTCAGTAAATAACCACCCCACTCTACTCGGAAAAAACTGGCGCACCCTAATAATGTCAGGGGTCTACGTAACCGGAACGGACCCAGATTTGTTCCGGCCAAGGACTGTCAACTCGGCAGAATTCTGCCGCTACAACAACAACAACACCACACAGGACAATACAACACACCGAAACACCGCACGTGTACATCACCAGTTAACAAAAGGGATGGTCCGCGCAGCTTTTTTACCTCATTTGAAATAATAGCGATCCTGCGCGCAACTCTACATTCGATTATATAGATGCGGCGCGCGTTAACCTATCTTGATCAGCCGAAGGAGAATCCGGACATTACCGGAATTCAAAGAGACACATCGGTTCGCTCACCTTCGGACCCGTTTATAAATAATAAATTTAATTGTAACATTTATATCTTGTTGTGTTATAAAATTAAAGTCTCCTTTTATTTCGTATCCGAAATCAACCGCAACTTCACTTACATACATATTTATAATATTTAACGCGAGTGTAATTGAATTATCAACAATTTAAATTCAGTGGTGGGTGTTTCCTACTAAATTGGGCACCTAGTTTCAAAACTATGAAAAAAAATTTCGCTATTTAGACTCCAATAAAGTCTTTTTACATTTCGCTTTTGCTGGCAACTTCTCTTTCTAAATAATAATATGCAACCCTCCTTATAACGGTACTTTGCTAAAGTGAACAAAGTGTACTTAGCGAGTTCAGTGGTTCCTTCGAAAAGTAAAAGTTGTGAATTTTGAAAGACTTTCGGTGATTTCTAAAAAGTATGCCTAAAAATATTCGTCAGTTAAAGAACGTGAGCTTATCATCAATTTGCATGTAAAGCAAAATAAATCATACGCGGAAAGAGCCAAAATAGTGTCCCGTAGTCGTTCTACAATACAATCAGTTATTGGCCGTTTTAAATATGAAGGCCGAGTAGAAAACAAAAGCAAATGTGGACGGCCTTCAGTTCTCGCGGATGGAGATCGGCTAAAAATTTAGCGAATGGTACCAATTCAGCCAAAAAAAAAAAGTTAATCCCTAAACTGTGCGAAAAGCTATCATTAATGCTGGGTTTATGTCTCGCAGGCCTCGTCGAAAACCACTCGTAAACATAGTAAACACTTATTATCTGTCAATATGGAACCCATTTGTTATTGTGCATATAACAAAAATTGTGTAAAAATAAAATGCTTATTTAAAGCAAATATTAAAATAATTAATATAAAATAAATATCTAGAAACATTGTAGTGAAGTGTAAGTGTATAATAAGTGCATAATATAAAAGAAAAATTGGGAAAACTTTAGCAGTGGAAATATAAGTGTATAATTCATTTTAAACCGCAAAAATACGTACTTTAAATTGTTGAAATTTTCAACTTTAAACGTAAATATCTCGAAAACTATAAGTTTCCCGCTGCTATATCTATATATATTCTTGATCTGGAGGATCTCCTCTATCCGCCCATACCCATTTTATCCCCGAAAGCCTGGGGCGATATACTAATTATAATGTTATTAAGCCGACCCGAAAAATTAACTATAAATTGAGAAATTGTAAGATAAAATTTGTGTTCGAAAACTATAAGTTTCCAGTGGCTATAATAATATATTTTTTTTATCTGGAGAATCTCCTCTATTCAACCATACCCTTCTTAACCCTGAAATCGTGGGATGGTATACTAAAGTTTCCCAAGAAAAATTCCATATTATTGAATATATAGACTGGAATTGAGTATTCCTGGTATTCGAAAGATGTCAAAAACTGGTGGAAAGCATGAACCGAAGATGTGAAGAGGTGATTAAGAATAGTGGATATAGCATAAAATGCTAACCAATTGCGCAATTTTATTCTACTTTTTATTCACATTCTTTAAGTTGTATTATTTATGTGTCCCAGCTGCCATATAGGGTATTGATGTTTTCGTCTATTTTTATTTATTTTTTTGATATTAGAATAACTACTGCCTTCGCTGCGGTTGAGAGAGATATAATGCCCAGTTACATTAAATTCTACACCTAGGATGATATAAAAAAGTTTTATAGAAGCCGGACGATGTGCGTGACACCACCCACATTTAAGCGAAATCCCATATCTCTGGACTCACTGAACCGATTTCAAAAATTCAAATTCAGTACATATCATTATCCGAATGATCCTATATTGGTTGTACTGAATATGTGGACCCTAGTGCATATGGCTGAATTTTTGCCGAAAATGTCGATCAATCTGTGACAAATATTATTGAAATTCGGAGAAAATGTTTCTTTAATATTAATATATTCTTGTGTCAAAAATTACTTGAGTCGTGTCAATATTTCCTTTAGCCCCCATATACCTAATATAAAGATTGTCGAGTTTCCAGTTGACTTTATACCACATATATCGGCTAATAGTTATTTTAATGAAATCGAGAAAGCGTATTTTTCTAATAACAGTGCATCTTTGTGCTTAAAATCGGGCGAAAACTTTGCCTTATATTCAGAATATTGAAACGTCCGGAAAACTTTAATCCATTTATGTATATCTTTATACTTATATATTTATTGAATTGCTTGAAAATAACTTCTTAAATATACTTGGGCAATGTCAAAAATTAATTCGATCAGCCCTTCCACTTTTCTGCCCCCAATATATCCTATTTAATGATTTTCGACTTTCACCTAACTTTAAACCGTTAAGTTGAAAGATTTCTTAAAAGTTATAAAATTATATTAATGTTTAATTAGCGTTTTCGGTTGAGTTGATATCACATATATCTCATTTGAGAATGATTTTAGTAGAGTTTTCGATGGCGGGAAGTAAAATATAGTAATAAAACTAATTGAGTTTATGACTTTCAAAATAAGTCAATTTGATACCAAATTTGATTGTAATTCATTCATGATTTCATCGAAAAATGAATGTTGAATTCTTTCGCTACATTTTATAATGTCAACATGTTCGGTTACAGCCGAAATTAGCTCTTCTTTTACTTTTTTTTTCAAATTATCTACTATGCCTCGATTAAGAGAACTATCTTAAAAATAAAATAGGGTTTAATTTTGTCATTGCATTATATGCAATTAACAATTTCGAATGTAAGTTTTTGATATTCTCATGGATTGCTCATTTATGTTTTTGAATATTTTTCACATTGTAACATCACCCCCATTACTTTTTCATGTTCAACCCGAACTGGTTCACCATATAAAGAAACAATGGTGTGAAATGAAAAAATTGTTTCATACTTATGATATAATTCATTATTTTATTATTTAATAAATAGAGATATTTTACTCGATTCGAACTCCTTTCTGTATTGCGTCAAAAGACATGTACGCGTAGTATTGTAACGCAAATAGTGCTGCATTGTTAGAAGACTTGGCATAGTTTTTACCGATTCACTAATCTGATTCATTTATTTAATCAATAGGTTTCTGATCCTGACGTCAGCTGCATTAGCGCGTACTCCGTCTACATAACAATTTTGGATTGGAGGGTAGTCATCTATAGCCTATAATTCACAACCTGAGTTTAACCATTTACATTGTGAAAGAACTTCTTTAAACCTTTCCACAGCCTTATATTACGAAAACATGCAAGTTAGATTCATTAAGGATTCATTATCGACATTTCCCATTTTGGATGACGACGGAGTCCTTGATGAAACATACGAAGAAGTAATTTACATTAATATCCAAAAAGTTAAAAGAAATCAGTTAACGAAACGTTAAGCAAACTAATTAGCACATTAGAAAACATGAATTTGAACTAATATCAGCAGGTACTGCCTTAATATTTTATATAGAACTAGTTCATTATTGAATTACTTTGGCAAAATAAGTTAGTATTACAAGTAGTGATGAAGAAAATAATTAATTTTAAAAGCGCTAGGGCTTTTCAAATTATTCAAATAACCTGAAAATCGATTATTCGAATAACCGTTAGTGTGAATATTAACCCAATAACCTCTAACGGATTTCTCGATACCTTATAACTCACTCTTTAGTTCGATCACTATATGTTAAATAAAAGTTCCAATTTAATGGCTATACACCTGTCTTTATTTTAATTCAAACAACTTAACATTTTACTATTCATTATCTAAAATTCACAAGTTCTTACTTATATCTTAATTGCTCTTAACATGGCACTCTAACTAGAACTGTCCCTCCAGCACAATCTAGCAGCCCTATATATAAGATCTTTAACAAACCTTCGCTAGCATTCTGTCAACTGTGAATTTGCTGTCTAGTTGATTCTGTCAATTATCGTCGAATCGATTTTGTTCAATCATGCGTCACAATAGTCGACTATTACGACTATTCGATTACTTGCTCTGTTGCGAGTATTTAAAAAAGTAAAAAAATTTTGAAATCCAAGCAGCCTTTGATTTGTGCACAAAATTTTATTATTGAATGTTTCACTTTTTTCAATAAAAATAAGAAAATAAATTACCGCTTATTATTCGAATAGTCGACAAAGAAATGTTAACCGGATAGTCGAGAATGAGCGGTTAATCGAATAGTCGACGATTTACGACTATCCCGATACTGCAAGCCGAATATTATTTTTCGAATGATAACCTATCCGGTTAATCTGATTAAGGGAATACCAAGAGCTCTAAAAATCGTCCTCTAGAACATCGTTAACGAAATTCAGAATGATGGAAACCAATTCTATTATTCAAATAATACCCTATGCGGTTAATCCGATAAGTGGAATTCCAAGAGCTCTAAAAAGCGCCCCATAGAACTTCGTTAACAAAATTCAGGGGTCGGCTTTAGTATACCATTCCCCGATTTCAGGGTTAAGAGGGGTATGGTTGGATAGAGGAAATTATTATAACCGCCGGAAACTTATAGTTTTCGAGATATTTGCATTTTTAGTTGAAAATTTGACAAATTTTATTTTTACAATTTCTCTATTTATAGTTAATTTTTCTTTTATATAATATTATGCACTTACTTGATTATACACTACACTTCACTACAATGTTTCTACATATTTATTTTATATTAATTATTTTAATATAATATTTGCTTTAAATAAACATTTTATTTTTACACAATTTTCGTTATATGCACAATAACAAATGGGTTCCATATTGACAGATAATAAGTGTTGCTATATCTATTATATATATATATATATTTATAGTTTGCAAACGAATTAAAATGAATAATAGATCAACCGTGGTATTGGATTGATCATTACTTTTTTGAAGCGCCGCCGAAGGCCGCCAATTCAGAAAGAAATAGGACGCGAAAGGGATAACGACCACCACGGTGTTGGATCGCCCAGGGTTATTTTTTTGAAGAGCGGCCGAAGGCCGCCAATGCAGAAATAAATTGGACGCGAAAGGATTAACGATCACCCCGGCGTTGGATCGGCCAGGGTCATTTTTTTGAAACGCGTCCAAAGACCGCTAATGCAAATAAAAAATCTAACCAAAAAAAGGAGTGTTAAAGAGGATATATCACTCTCTTTAAATTTCATTTTCTATAACGAATTATAACAGATATTGTTACAACTAAACAAGGTACCGTTTGTTTTTTTGTCCGTTTTGTCATTGAATTGGTAAATTTTGTGCATATAAGTTAATTTTGTAGAGGGTAATTGAGTATTTTATTTATTTTGATTGCTTTCATTCGTTTGGATATGGCAACACTTATTATCTGTCAATATGGAACCCATTTGTTATTGTGCATATAACAAAAATTGTGTAAAAATAAAATGTTTATTTAAAGCAAATATTATATTAAAATAATTAATATAAAATAAATATGTAGAAACATTGTAGTGAAGTGTAGTGTATAATCAAGTAAGTGCATAATATAATATAAAAAAAAAATTAACTATAAATAGAGAAATTGTAAGATAAAATTTGTCAAATTTTCAACTTAAAATGCAAATATCTCGAAAACTATAAGTTTCCGGCGGTTATAATAATTTCCTCTATCCAACCATACCCCTCTTAACCCTGAAATCGGGGAATGGTATACTAAAGCCGACCCCTGAATTTTGTTAACGAAGTTCTATGGGGCGCTTTTTAGAGCTCTTGGTATTCCACTTATCGGATTAACCGCATAGGGTATTATT